AACCAAATCAAACAGAAAACAAAAAAACAGTCCCCAAATAAAAACAGAAACCTAAAATCCCAAACCAGTTTTTTCCCAATAAAAAAACTATGTCTCTTTAACACATATGAAAGAGTGCTGGTGAAGCATTCTTTGCTAGGGCTTGTTCCTTGATGGCTAGGGTGTGAGAATTGGGTCCTGATTTATTTTATTATTTTTTTTTATGTGTATGAGTGTATTGCCTGCACCCATGTTGTGTAAAGCCCACGGAGGTCAAAAGAGGGTGTGAGATCCCCTGGAACTGGAGTTATGGACAGTTGTAAGTTGCCATGTGGGTGCTGGGAACTGAACCTGGGTCCTCTGCAAGAGCAGCCAGTTCTCTTAACTGCTGAGCCAGCTCTCCACACTTTCCTGATTTATTCAAAAAATGCTCTAAAAAAACTGAGTACGTGGTGGTGCACGCCTTTAATCCCAGCACTCGGGAGGCAGAAGCAGGTGGATTTCTGTGACTTCAAGGCCAGTCTGGTTTACATAGTGAGTTCCAGGAAATCTGGGGCTAGAAGGAGACCCTGTCTCAAAAAGACCAAAAAAAAAAAAAAAACCAAAACTGAGTACATTTCTTATGTAAGTCAGATTGTTTCTTTGAAGCACGATACCCAGAACATGGTAATTCTTTGCTTTTTCATTCCTGAAACTCTTCCTCGCTTGGCTTAATGATAGACTACTAGAACCTCATACACACTTGATTCCGAGTTCCCGTATTCAATTAAAACCACTCATTTCTTGCTTCATTTTGATTCTTGCCCTCAGGAAATTTATTTGGCTGAAATTTGTTACTGGGTATTTCTCCCTCTCATCCTTTCTGATCTTGTCTTTTATTTTTGTAGGGTATAAATAGTTGTTTCTTCTTTTCAGTCTCTCAGAGCTCTGGATTTCTGGACTTTCTATTTTGTTTGTAAATCTTTCAGCTCTTTCTTGAACTCATCTCTTCCCTGTGTTACTTTGTCAGTTCTAAAAATAGTGTCTAACACACACAAACAATGTTCTGTTTTCCAATCTCTTTGTCTAGAGCTACAAATTGATTAGGCACAAGACCTGCTTTTCAAGCTATTGCAAGTGATATTTGGTGAAATGATTTGTATTATATGTCAGAAATAATCATTGATCCAATCTGTAATTGAACTGCTCTCAAATACAGTTCCACTGTTTAGTCTTTCATTATGAGAGCACCTCACTTTCAGAAATCAGTTTCTGTACATACAGATATAGAGCAGCTATGTTATAGCAGCACATATTTGTGTGGGTGTGCTTGTGCAATGTGTGTGTTATGTGTGTATGTTTGTGTAGTGTGTGTGTGTTATGTGTATGTGCACAAGTGTGCTTGGAGGCGTACATGCAGCAGTGTGTCCTCTTACTGTTCTTTATCTATTATTATTTTTTAATGAGACAAAATCTCTCACTAAACCTGAAGCTAGTGATTTGGCTAGGGTGGCTGGGCAGTGAGCTCCCAGAATCCACCCAACTCTGCCCCCCAATGCTGGGGTTATAGGCATGCCCAGCTTTTACATAGGTGCTGGGGATTTGAGTTCAGGTCCTCTTGCTTCCACAGGAAGCTCTTTTAACCACTGAGTCGTCTCCCCAGTCCCTATAGCAGTATATCTTTATTTTTTGTCTTCTAAATTCTTTTTTTTCATTTTTAGTGTATATCTTGTTTAGAATCACCTTTGTGGAATGAGAATAAAGTCTTGAAGTTGGATCTGTAAAATTAAATGCTTGTATTTATGCCACCAATATCTCTAACAATTTTATGGTATTATTGGATAATATATACTAAATTTCATTCTGTAGATTTTGAACATATTAATAGTGTCTAATGGTACAGTTTATTACCTGGAATCATTATCCCTAATTAAAAAGGTAGTCTGACTCCAAGTACATAGTAGGGTATAAAATCTTGCTAATTTAAAGGTCTTGTCACTTTAATCACATGTAAGACTGTGTTTAAGGCATTCCTGGAATTACAGAGTTTCCTATCATTTCTCTGTATGGTCTTAGAGTCCAGTGGGGAGTTTAAGTGTATTGACCAGCAGCTCTAGTGCCTTCCACAAACTCTCAAAGATGGCGATACTATGTTTTCACCACAGTCTGCTGACTGTTCATTACAGTATCCACAGTATAAGCACATGGTTTACATTATAAGCAATGCTTAATAAATACTGGATAAATTAATGACTTGGATCTGTTGGTTCCAGCCAGTTAATAGTTTGGCATCCCATTAATTACTTTTACCCTGAAGGGGACACCTTTTTGGCTACAGATTGTGAAGACCAGCATTCCTTCCTCCTTATGGAAGATAATATTTTGTTTGTCCCCTGCCACCGGCAAATCCTCCTGTATTGAGTCAGGTGCTTTTAGTCCTTTCTTCAGGATAGATGGTATACGCTTATAGTGCACAAAACATGGACAGTAGGGGAAGAGGCTGCTGAGGAAAGTGAGTGTGTTAATAAGCTGGTACAAAATACCTGAAAATTAATTTAAAGAAATATTTATTTTGGCTCATGGTTTCAGAGGTTTTGGTTCATGGTTTCTTGGCTTCATTTTGGGTCATGATGAGGCAAGGACATCATAGTGTTCTTGAGTCATGTGATGAAGCAAAGCTGCTCATTTTCTGCCATCTAGACAGGAGAGAGGGCGGGAAAGAGGAAAGGACAAAGCAAAACACATCCCTCAAATCTATACTCCCAATGACCCATTTCTTCCACCTCCCAATATTCCATAAAGCTATAAATCCAATATATGCATAAAAATGTCATAATGAAATCCATTATTTTATATATTAACTAAAAAATTAATGAACACACACATACTCCATGAACAGAATTCTGAAGAACTCACATTAAAGCTAAAAGCCAAAGCTATAAATCTATAAATAGTTTACTCCACTGGTGAGACAGAGCGTTTATAATCCAATCACTTCCTGAAGCTCTCACCTCTGAATGAGACTACACCAGAGTCCAAGCTCTTAAAGTAAAATCTGTTAGCAGATAGTTCAGATCCAAATTTAACAGTGGGTGTTTCAATTCACTTAATTTAGTCCAGACGAAAGGTCTCATTCATATCTTTCTTTGGTAACACAAGGAATTCAAGCAAAGCTGAAATCCAAACTCGTGCTTCTTGATTTCATGAAGCCAGTTTCACTGTGTTCCTGGAATGCATGTGATGAGATCTTAAAATTCTCTGGACAATAGGTCTGGATAAAGGACTTGTGTAAAACTGTACATAGAAAATAGACTGTGTAATTAGGATTGTATATTTAGGGATGGGTATTTGGAGAGGGAGACTATGTAGAGATTATTGGGGAGGGCCTAAAGATAGCTCAAATCTACTAAGACCCGAGAAAATCATACTCAAACATAAGCAATGGCAAGAGAGATGAAATTCGAGCTCAGAGATGAGGGCAATGCCTGAGACGAAGATTTGAGAGTCTTCTTGGATTCCAGAGGAGAGGAGACAAGGGGACTCCATTGGCACAGAGGAACAAAGTGGATGTAAAGCATATCAAGACAGAATTGTGATAAGTTTTGGATGCTCTTCATTTAAGGAAAATGGAGATTTGTTCAAACACAACAGTGAACCATAGCTTTGAGCTTCTTGAACATGTTCTGTCTTTTGAAAAGAGCCTGTTCAATTTTACCAGATCTTAACAGAGATTTTTATTTATTTTTTATTTATTTTTATTTTTTTTCTGAAAATGTGAGAAGCTGACTCAGGGCAGAGAGATTTTTATTTTTAAAGTAAGTTACTTTTTGAATTGGGAAGTGTCTGTGTATCCCTAGGTCACAATGTTTGCTATATAGCATGTGCTTTTGTTTCAAGACATGATCTCACTATGTAGCCTTGGCTAGTCTGAAATCTGCTTTGTAGACCAGGCTAGTCTTGAACTCCTAAAGATCTGCTTACCTCTGCCTCCAGAGTGCTGGGATTAAAGGCATGCATCCCACACCCTGAAGTATGTGCTTAACAAATGTTTATTGATTGGAACCGAGTCAAATGAACCTTCTGCAAGTCAACTAAAACTGTGTATTAGAGTATTTAATGTCTTTTATTTACTAATTCTCTTTGGTTAACAAAAATGGTCCTCATGGGCTGGAGAGATGGCTCAGTGGTTAAGACTACTGATTGCTCTTGCAGAGGACTGGGGTTCAATTCCCAGCACCCACATGGCAGCTAAGAACCATCCTTAACTCCAGTTCCAGGGGAATCCAAAGCCCTTTTCTGACCTCTGCAGCATTGCACGACATGGGTGCAATCACATTCATGCAGGCAATACACTCATACACATAAAATAAAAATAATAATAAAATATAAAAAAATGGTCCTCAATGAGATATATCCAAGATGATGGTCATTTATATATTGTGTGAACCATTATTTATTACACTAGTCAGACAGGGTTAAAAAATTAGTTCAGGGAGACCACAAAAATACCTGGGGATGTAATTTCTGAATCTCTCACTGACATTTATTTAATTTTATTTTCCCATTCATAGTGTTTAAAACCTTGTCTTGGTGAAGATGACTTACCTCCCATTTCAATCATGGTTTCTATTGCATGACTAGAAATTAGAGCTTAGAGTGCGTGACAAGGGTGTTGATGATTTGTGGAAGAACAAAAGATCATGACAGTCATTTGCAACATGGTTCATTTCTGTAATAAATTAAGAATTTCATTATAGTTTGAGGGTGATGGGAGTGGAGAGGGGGTAGAAGAAAAAGGTGTGGTCCATTTTCCGTCATCCCCTTGTAGGATCCCCCTTTGGTTCCCCCTCAGGAAGTGGAAGAGAAAAAAACCTGCATTCGTCAGTAACTCTGGGTCAACCACAACTTAAAGACAGTAAGCAGGTCAGTGGAAACAGGGACAGTGATTGCTATAAAACTGACAGGTACTCTCACTGACATACCCAGGGAGACAAACTCAGAGAGAGCTTCCAAGCAAAGCCAGCAACCAGAAGGAACCAGTCATGAAGGGCCTGCGTGAGACAGCCATGGTGAGTGGAACTGATAATTGTAATTTAGGGGTAACCATGCTTAACCTTTTAGAATGGAGGCTTTCTAAGACGTTAGGCCTTGTTGGAGTCTTTTTTGAATGAGTTCTTCAAAAAACAAAATTAAGTTAAATTTTGTTTTCTCTGGTAGAGAAAAAAGAAAAAATAATCAGAAAAGTTAAACTAGAAAGTTATAAGGGAGTTGAAAGCATAGTACTTTGCCCAGGTGGGGTTAGCATGTGTATTTGACATCACAGACATCCATCAGGGTCTCCCCTATGACCACTCATTAGAGACTCGGTTTGGACTAAAACTTACCTTATGGTGAGAGCCAGGCCAGAGCTCTCACCATATATTCACCATATAGTCACCATATATTCTCAAATGAATATAGAATATATATTATATATTCTATATTCATTTATGTCTCCCAAAGAAGAAATATATATCAATATATCCCAAAGGAAGGATATATATGAT